TGCTCCCAAATAGCTGCTGCTATGCTCCTAAAGGCAAATCTGCAGACATGAAGTAGTAAAGGGAGAAAAGACAGCAGAAGCTGCAAGCAGGTGACAGCACCAGTTCCATCAGAAGAGCAAAACAGCCCAGGGACTGACTGCCTCTTCAAAAACAAGTAAGCAAAATTGGGAGGTACTAGGCTGCAAGTACTGGATGGGATGGAGAAGATGCAGTTTGTTCTGGCCTGCTTTTCCCAGGAGACAAGGGGAAGGCTGCTGGAAAATACTACTCCATGTTTCTAAAGCGACAGCATATTAGGGGCACAGTCACAGTGTGAACAAATAACACCAAATTATTGGAGCTAATTTCTGCAGATAGCATCTCATTAACCTGTGGGATCCTGTGCTCTGAGGTGGTACTGAGACCACGAATCTAGTAGAAATCAATAGATTAAACTTTTTAATAGATAATAAGAACATACAGAGAGCTACACTAGGCAAAATAAACATTTACAAGGGATATAAACTCTCATGCTTCAAGGCATAAGCCACTAGATGATGAGGATTAAAGACAAGTATCCACTTCGGTCAAGCTGCTCCAGCAGCTGCTGCTTCCCTTGCCCCAGCAGCAGACAGGTGAGGTCAGTGGGCCGGTGGCAGCTGTTCCAGGACCCCATGGCTTCCCATGACAGATGCCACATGATGCTGTCCATCTCCTGTCTGCTCCCAACATGTCCAGGAATATTCACCAGTAGCCACCTATTTTATGCCGGGTCCAGCTGCCTTCCCCCTTCCATGCCTGGTCTCCCAGCGAGAAGGCGAGCTGGCCAGCTGGACATGGAGCACAGGCAGATGGAGGATACTGAGCTGGGAGCCCACGCTGCAGGGCTGCAGTGACTGGAGTCAATAAGCTGTTAACAGGAGAACAGGTCCCTCTCTGATATAGTACCAGGCAGAAGCATACAAATTTCTGATTCTGCAGTATATTTTCAGCAGAGTCATTATCAGAACATTGAGCCATAGGATGATCGGGCATTTCAGGACGGAAGGGACTTTAGTAAGTCTCTAGACCCTGCTCACAGTGGAACCAGCAAAGAGGCCAGACCAGGATGCTCAGGACTTAGCCAGCCTGGCCTTGAAAAACCTTCAAGGATGAAGACTGTACAGTCTCTCCTAGCAACCTCTTCCACCGCTGGACCCTCTTGATGGGGAAATAGTTGGAAGCTTTTCCTCACACCCAATTTGCATCTTGCTTGTTTCAACTTAATGTCTATTGTGTCTTTGTGCTAGGGGACCCAAACCGGCACTATTCCCACTGTGAGCCCAAGTGTGCCAATGAGGGGGGTAATTCCTGCCCTCCAGCTCCTCACTAAGATGCTGCTGCTTGTCTTCATCACCAGGGCACACTGCTCAGCTCCCAGTCTGACCACATGCCCAGAGTCTCTCTGGCAGCCAGTTTTGTTGCGAAGTCCTCCCTTCCCTGATGCAGGATTTTATGTTTGCCCTGGTTGAATTTCATGCTCCTTCCAGCCTGCCAAGGTACCTCTATGTGACAGCCCTACCCTGGAGCACACTGACAGCATTCTTCAGTTTGGCAGCATCTGAAAACCTGACACAGTGTGCTCCCTCCTTGCTCTGGATGAAGGTGCTGACCAGGGCAGATCCCTGCCCATACCCTGCAGCACAGTGGCATTACAGCATTAACCACCATCTTTAAGCTTGACCAGCCAGCCATCTACCTGCCCATGTGTCCACGCTGCAGCACTTCACTGTACCCTGTGCTGCCAGAGCACTGTGGTCTGCTGGATCTGCACTACCTCTCTGGTCACCTCTATGGGGTGACAGCCACCAAAAGGCAGGAGAAGCATGCTGGGCCAGTGATGTGCAGAAGCACTACATTTATGGGAGCCTCAAGTGATGCAGCTCTCAGATCATAAAGCTCTGGGCTGAAATTGAAGCCATGTGTTTGCTTGTTTGCTTCCTTTAGAAAAATTTATTCTCTGTGCCAGCATAAACATTCACAAGCCACATAAAAAAGGAAATTCCCTGTTCATAACACAAGTCCCTGTTTTTGTAGGGAAGGAAGGGAGACCTGAGAGCATGGACCAGGTGTTTGTGCCAGGCATGGAGATGCCGTGGTGTCAGGTTTCTGTGTGTGTTCTTGTCTCTGGAAGAGGCAGGGAAGGACCCAGGGATATTGGGGGAAGAAGCCTCTCCTGTTCAGATGAACAGTAGGGAAGCCAGAGGAGAAGTAAGCACAGAGCAAGAAGCTTAATCCACACAGCTCCCGCTTCCATCCTGGAAATGCCAGAGAGCTGGACAGTCTCTCCAGCCCCACAGGCATGCCACAGACCCCAATAGATGCAGGACAAACACCAGCAGTGCACTGAGGGACAGGTTTACCCAGAGCAGCACAAGCGATGGCAGCAGCAACAAGCATGCAACAAAACACCGCCTATGTCTTATCATGTATACATTTCTCTAACGTCTCTAAGCACTTAAAGCACACAATTACCTAATTATGAGCAGAAATTCATGGCTAACAATTAAAAATCTTATCAAGGAAGCACATTTCTAGCAGAGGCTCCGAAAACTACAACAAGGCAATGGCAGGTCATGAAATGAATCCCTGAGATGCGGTACACCAAACATGCACCCTTGCTCAGGCATGGAGATCTGTCCATTTTGGAACAAGCAGGGATGTGCCTACAGCACCAGACAGGATCCATCATCTGCTTCATGGTCAATCCCCTGGGGGCTGTAGTGGTTTCTCTAGCAAGGCTCTGAAACTGGTCCTGCAAAGGACAGGAGCCAAAGAAGGACTGAGAAGGTATTTTGGATGCTAGTTAGCAAATTCTCACTTACATGGGAAGGAGAACCTACAGGAATTGCAGCTGACCTTCACACTAGCTGGAGCAGAAGGTTGTTATTAAAGGAACCAGAGAGAGGAACAGTGCAGTTATTCAATATAATGGGTCACACAATTCTATGTGTAGTTAAAAATAAAATCTATTACCAGGGAAAATCATCTCAGATGACTCTTTATCACCAAACCCTCACTGCACTCCCTCCAGCTGAGCACCACCTAGCACCACCCCATATCCTGCAGTTTTGCCATCCCTGGCAGCTGCTCCTGAAGAGCTGGTAGCTCCCAAAAAATTGAACAAGAGATACTAGGGCTCACAGCTGGGTTTTCAGTGAAAGGTGCTCTGAAAGAAGGCTATAGAGTCCCACAATGTTTCTGAATTCCTTTAAATCTCCGCCTTTGCCACGAATGACAACATCCAATGCACACAGGCTTTCAGATGCTCAGTCTCAGCAGGAGGATACTCCTGGAGCGAGGGAGAACTCAGGGCGTCAGTGAAGAACCAGTCCAGGAGAGACTGGATGGGAGAAGAAGGGGACCAGCAGGGCAGGATGTGTGCCCCTCCAACATGGGCACAACCAATTGAGCTGGCAGCTGTGCTGAAGAGTTGATGCAAGTTCCTATCTTCATCCAACTTGAACAGCCAGCTGTGCCATCGCAGTCAGGCAGGCCTGGCTGAGGATAGAAAAAACATACCAATATGGTGTCTGTGTGCATGTGGCCATGAGAAATGGCATGAAACAAGGACCAAACCTCATGCTCTTTTCAAACAAGGCTTGCCTTCAGGTGTTCCCTTTTTATTCTTACTTCTCACAAACTGCATCTGACAACTCCTCAGCAGCTCTTTCTGAGGTTACTTCATGTGTAAAAATTGATTTCTAAACAACCTATGATCTAACTTCCATAGACAATTTCTAACTCTAATTAATACATACATAAAGGGATGATTTTTTTTCTTAACTTGGTGATCTGGTAGAACCCAATTTGCAGAACATAATCAAAGCTGGTAACAAAGACTAACCCTGAAAGGGCCTGAACATCATATCAGGCACCAATTCCCACTTTCCTATTACAGGGATTTTTTAATAAATCACCACCTCCCGGAACCATGTTACTTCCCAGAACAAGTAACAATCCGACCCTAAGCTGGCTCAAATGACCTGAAGTGCTTGGGAAGCAAGAGGGGAAAGAGAACGAATTCCCAAGTTATCACCACTTTTCAAATCATATGATCCTTAGGGGCCAAATTAATAACTTTTAACATAAGTATTTGTGCTTTCCCTCATACCAGTAGTGTCAGTCACAACCAGACCAAAAGTGGCAGAGCTTGGGAAGAAATTCCAGCAGTTCTTTCAAGCTGAAATAAATGTGCTCATTTCCATCAATATCTGACGGGCTCCACCACCGGGGCAGGAGCAAGCCCTGTGCTCCCACCACTGGGCTCTGTCAGCACCCTGATATCCTACCCTTTGTCATGCACTGATCCACACCCAGTGGCCGACAGCTGCACCTGTGATGTTATGTGCCTGCAGACCCTGCTCTGCCCACCCCTCCACTCCCACTGGCCACACAGGCAAGTGCTGGCCACCAGCTGGCTCACACCACACATGCTTTCTCACTGAATGGCTCTAAAGGGGAAGGAAATTACAGACATACAGTGTCCTGAGGACAAGTCAGCATCCCCTGGGAGACAACCAGATGGGCACAGATTTGCGCACAGAAATGTGGAGGTCAGGACATGTCCAGCCCCCAAGGACCAGCAACCTCAGCAGTAGGACAACACAGAGGGACATGATGTGTTCAGAGGAAACAGGTGGGGTCCAGCAAAACCTGTGTCAAATGGTAAGCGCCCAGCATGGTCCAAAATGGAGCGATTCCCAGGCTCCAGAGAAGGGAGGATGGGGGTTCTTTCAGCCAGTCCAAATGATTTGCTTGGGCAGTCCACCAGCTGAATCACATCCTCCACTGGGGAGCCTGGTCTTCCTTCACTCAGGACTGCTTCACACCTTGCCTTCCCCTCCAGCCCTGTGGCTTCTGCCTTGTGCTCACCTCGCACATAGCATCCACAGAGTGCCATGCTCTTCTCCTGAAAGGATGTCTTTTTCCTTCCCTTTTGTTTTCCACCCTCCCATCCCCCTCCACTTTGAACACTCACCAGGCACCATTCCTGTCAGTGCTGGAGCAGAGTAGCTGCCCTGTCCGGCAGGAGGGACATGTGGAGGGTATCCTGGGAGCGTTGTGCTTGCCAGCTCACGACCTGAAGAATCAAACCAACAAATCACCATGTGAGCATCACGACGAGCGGACATGGTTTTACATCTCCCCAGATGCCCAGAACACAGCCATGCATTTGTCATCACCACTCAGCCAAGGACCAGTGTGGGATTTCCAGCCTGGCAGGGAGGGCAGGCACAGTTTTGCTTTCTCTAGAAGCTGCCACAAACCTCTGATGAAGTGAGAGATGGGAAGGGGAAGAGCAGAGCCCTGTAGGAAAGGAATGTGCCTGCCTGAACTCTGGCTGCTCACCCCTATTCCCAAGTTCCTCTAAAGCTCAGATTTGTAAAGTCAGAAACAACAAAATGTGAAGTAACGCTGATCTTAATGGCACTTTCCCAGAAAACTCTCCAGAAAATCACAGTGCATGGGCTGAATTGTTTGCAGAGATCTAAATACAATGCAGGATATTGTTTTTATTTCTCATTAAAGCCAGTTAAAAAACAAACAAACAAACAAAACCACAACAAACCAACAACCAACAAAACAAAAAAACACCACAAAAACCAAAAACCAAAACCTAAACACAAGACATTGAGACTTGAAGACAGTTAACAATATAGTTTGCTGTGGTGCCAGAAGAAGGGTAAGATTCACAGACACAGCCTGATGTAGCATTCTTAGACTGCAGAAACATGTCTTTATTCACATACCCACAGGTCTTCAATAGAAATGGAACCCCACAGAAAACAGGCAGTGGAGTGTCCCTTATCTCCCTCTTCCCCTGGACTCAGGAGTCAAGGTCCCCTTCCTGCACCCCGCTCCAGGCACAGCTCCCACATGTTGCTGTCCCCAGAATGAAGACAGGAGGTGCATCACAAAGTGCTGCAGAAGTAACATCCCAACCCTGTAAAGATCCTGCACCCATATGGGAATCAGAGGATAGCTGCCATTCCCACAGCCCGCAGCTGCCACAGCAGGATTTCAGGGAAAACACTGCTGTGGCCACAGGTGGTCTGCCTGGAGACCAAAGGAATGCTTCTGAAACCCCAGCAGGGAGGACAATCATGGGGAATCCACTCATGGTCTACTGGACTCCCACAGCATCCTTGAATAAGTTATCCAAGGATAAGTTGCTTTCACAGAGTACTCAGATGCTGTTAGCATCTACCCTGGGATGCCACAGCTGAGTCTGCAGCTGGACAGAGATGCCACTATCCTCTCCCAGCAGCATCATACACAGTGCTCAAGACACCGCTCTGCTATGGTGATGTGCCCGATCCACCACCCGAGCATGGGGTGGCACTGCCAGCGCCCAGGCCATCCTGCCAAGTGGCAGGGAGACCAGGAGGAGACCACCTGGGCCCTAACAAGCTCCAAGATGCTGTTGGCTAAAACCAGCTCATTAGCTGGGCAAAAATCACTATGAGTACAGGTTCCTTCCTCAAAACATGGCATCTTACATCAACAAGAAAAGTTAGGTGACTTAGCCAGTTTTAGTGCCACTAACAAGAAGAAGTGCATGGATTCTCATGTTCAAATTGTTTTGTGTAGGAATTTGATTTTATGACAGCAGTTGGGGTTTTTTTCCAAATCTCTAGAGCTTGGAGAAGTTGAAACTGAGTATTTTCCTATAAGGCAAACCCAGTTTTTTACTTCTTTGGTTGGCAAAGTTTCATTTCCAACTGATCTAAAAATAAAAATTAAAAAATATTTCTTTTTTTCCTTATCTCCAAAGAAATGAGACCTCATCTGATGAGATGAGAGACAGGAATGTGGTTATTGCAAATTGCAGCTCACCACTCCTGGGTCATGGCCACGAAGGCTGCTTCCCCCACCATCCCACCAGACAAACGAGTCCATGTCACAACACTCTGTCAGTGCCTGGCATGTAGGCATTGCTGCAGTGATCTCTCAGCACATGCCCCACTTTCCTCAGTGATCTGCATCCACAAATCAGGACATGTGCTATTCCTCTCAGGCCCTTCCTACAGAATGTTTATGGTGTACCCACATTCTGAAAGAATTTAAGGTTCCAAACAATTGATTAATTTGCTCTCCAGTTCTAAGGGGAAGCCAGATCCCTTACGGAAGGGCATCATGAATTCTAATTATTCAATGCAGGCAGAAAATGGCTCTTTTAGATTAAAACATTCTCCCCTTGTCACTGCCCTGCTTCCTTCTCTCCCACACAAAATTAAGCTCTGATTACATCATCTCTACAGCCTGGAGAGGGCAAAAGTATCTGGAGTCTACTTAAATTTGATTGCAGAAACAAAGTTCCCCTCAGCACTGGCAGGGAGCACTGGCCCTTGACTATGGGCTATCCCTAATGCAAAAGAGCATCTCACAGCCTGAGCTCCATGCTGGCATCCTGGAACCCTCTATAGACCAAGGAATGGATACCGCCGCTCTTC